GCTCAAACATGACTTGTATTTATCTTTTGTTAGTGGCATATATTATTATAATTTTAATAGTTTTCCTTTCTTAAAATGTGTATACCTTTTTTGCACCTTTTATATATACATACATAGACATACACATATATATACATATAATAAATATGTGTGTGTATACATATATATATATATACACATATATATTTAAAAAAAACTTTTTTTTTGCAGTTTTTGGCCAGGGCTGGGCTTGAACCCGCCACCTCCAGCATATGGGGCTGGTGCCTCACTCCTTTGAGCCACAGGTGCTGCCCTATATATATTTTAAATTGTGGTAGAACCTATGTTCTAAACACACGTGATAAATACATCACTTTAAAAATATACACTTCAACAGCATTAACTACATTCAGAGTGTGGGCCTCCAACCACGGAATTCTTTTCATCTTGCAAAACTGACTATACTCATTAAACAATAACTCCCCTCCTGCCCCTCTTCCCATTCTACTTTCTGTTGTTATGACTTTGACCACTCTAAATACCTTATACAAATGGAATCTCTGATATATTTTTGAAATCTAATTATTTTAGATTGTATAAACTTTTCTCAGAAACAAAACTTGGAAGTGGACAGAGAGCTGCATTCCCCATTTCACCTTTCTCATCGCTATTATCATCTTCATCGCGTCACAGAGCATCTGGAGCCAAGGTAGTGCTCACCTGTGTAGGTGTAATGTGGCTGATGTCTTCAGATGCCAGCTGCTTCAGAAGAGTAGTCTTGCCAGCATTATCCAAACCCAGAAGAAGGATTCTCACCTCCTGGTCTGGTGCACTTTTCAATTTGCGCAAAATTGAAAGTAAGCCCTTGAATAACCATGAAGGAGAGAGATTACTTTAGTGGCACTTTTCTCCTCCTTGAAAAAAGTTCTTGGTTATGGAGATCTTATATTCTTATTTCCACTTTAATGCCATTTATTCCTTTTGATCCCTCCTTCTAAGTTTTGGCAGAAGTATGATAATAAATTTAGCAACTTAACGGGTAGAAGGGCTTATTCCTGCTCCCCCTATTAATCCAGCTTAGCGGTCACCCCAAGTCTCTTGAGAGTGTGAACTACTACCCTACCCGTGTTTCTAAAGCCCTTTACATACACACTCAGAGTAGAACACTCATCCTAGCACACTAGGTAACTGATTTTTGTATTTTCCTCCTTTACTAAAGTTTCTTGTGGGGAAGTGCTTTAGCTTCTGCCTTCCACAACGCCTGACACTTATTAGCCACACATCAAATAACACTTGGTGGAATTAAACAGAATTACCCACCTAAATTCATCTGAGATTTTAAGGTGTTATACAATAAGATATAAAAAGGCTGTATAAAATTACAGCTGGGCTCTCTGTTTAAGACTTTTATCTAGGGGGGCGCCTGTGGCTTGGTGAGTAGGGTGCCAGCCCCATATACCAAAGGTAGCGGTTTCAAACCCGGCCCCAGCTAAACTGCAACAAAAAAATAGCCAGGCATTGTGGTGGGCACCTGTAGTCCCAGCTACTCAGGAGGCCGAGGTAAGAGAATCACCAAAGCCCAGGAGTTGGAGGTTGCTGTGAGCTGTAACACCACGCACTCTACCGAGGGTGACAAAGTGAGACTCTGTCTCTAAAAACAACCAACAACAACAAAAAATAACTTTTATCTAGGCCAGGTGAGGGGGCTCATGCCTATAATTCTAACACTCTGGGTGGATTGCCTGAGCTCACAAGTTTGAGACCAGCCTGAGCAAGAGAGACCCCCTTCTCTAAAAAAAAGAGCTGGGTGTGGTGGTGGGCACCTGTAGTCCCAGATACTTGGGAGGCTGAGGCAAGAGAATTGTTTAAGCCCAAGAGTTGGAGGTTGCTGTGAGCTATGACACATGGCACTCTATGGAAGGGTGGCAAAGTGAGACTCTGTCTCCAAAAAAAAAAAAGAAATTATCTATTTCAACTCACCTTTAAGACTTCTTCATTCAGGCTCGGCGCCTATAGCTCAACCGGCTAAGGCGCCAGCCACGTACACCTAAGGTGGCAGGTTCGAATCCCCAGCCCGGACCCACCAAAACAACGACGGCTGCAA